TGCATAAATTTTGGAGAGCAGTCATCATCTTTCCACACGAGGTTGTTTCAGCCTAATTCCAAGGAAGTATGTTGGCTCTTTGAATCAGCTACAGGTAAGTTTGAGATAAAGCCCAATTTTATTAGTGGGGTTTCCACATTAAATTCTGATATGGCCTATGAAGGATCTTGTGCACTTTGAAAGGACACAGCCTAATGTCCAAGGAGCCTGCAGCAATACCCTGGTGCACCAAAGGCTGGATAGAAACTAGGTCAAAAGTGTCTCATTACAAAAATTGTATTGGGTATATTGTCCCTTTGAGTTGTATTTAAGTACTGTGGAGCACCTTTTCCCAAAGAGAGGTTTTCCACCCATTTTACCCACCAACAGAAGTGTAATCACCTTCTCTGAAACAAACATGGACCTTATTGATCCAATGATTATAAATAATAGATCCAGCTCCAAAGAATAGAATGGTATCAGAATTTAAATTGTGAACATATAATTTGCATAAAGCTATGGGTAACAGTAGAAGCCCCAATCCATTTGTAGTATCCCCACATGGATTAAGCCCTTTTGTGACTTCTTTCTGAATACAATCCAGGGATGTGACTGGCCTTGCTATCAGAGAGCATTGTAAAGTCAACTATGGTATATACAATTAAGTTAAAATGTAATATTTTATCTCCCCTTTGACCTGTTTTAAAGTTTTTACAGTTTTAATAATTTCTGCTTTCTTTTTGATTGAAGTTTTTCTATTTTATCTAATCTTGTTGGTGTTTTTTGTTGGCTTATTATTTTTGTTTGTATGATTTTCTGTATATGAAATGAGGATAAGTAAATCTATAAAGGAAGACTCTCAAGAAGATGCATTGGCATAGTGGCTGAGATAATAGGTTCAAGCAAGGGAATGGTTGGGAAGCTACTGCAGGATCAAGAAGTGTATATTTCTGTTGTGATAGGGTCTTTGGGTTGGAACTGACTCCCTGGCATCTAACAACAACATCATAGAGACAGTAACCGGATTGATAATTATCTAGAGGCATGACAGGGAAAGTTAGGGCAAAATGGGGAGTGAACAACAATGAATACAGGAGGAACATCTTCTGGAATTTATTATGGTGATGATTGCATAACTCTTCTTAATATGATTGGAGGATTAAATTGTATTAACACGTGAAGTATATTCCAATAAAGCTATTTTTTAAAAGGGAGAAGAGAAATTGGGAAAGGGATGGTATAGAATCTTGAGCAGGTGGATAAGTAATTCATAATTTGAAGTGATTAATTCAGAGCTGATGGTCGGAAATGAAAACCTCTCACCTGAAGAAAAAGAGAAGAAGCAACTAAACCAATAGACAATGTCATGATAAACAAACAAAATTTTGGAAGTTTCAAGGATTTCATTTGGCTTAAATTCACAATCAGTACTTCTTGAAGCATTGATGAAGAAATCAAATAATGTATTGCCTTGATCAAATCTATCTATTTGGAAGAAGTACGGCCAAAATGCACCTGAGAAGACAGAATGGTCAGACTTTATCTCCTGAATTTTGTCCATTTTTAACAGGAGAGACCAGTCCCTGGATGCTTGGTAAAGTAGAGGGTCAACAAGGAAGAGAAAGTTCCTCAATATATATATTGACACGTTGGTTTCAATAGTAGGGTCCAAGCACAGGAATGTTTTACTCTATTGTAAAGAGGGTCACTCTGAGTTCGAATGGACTTTGCAGCACCTAAAAGAACAGTAAATTAGAATTGTCTCAATATATGGGTGAGTGTAGACCATCAATCTATTTGAAATCATTTACTCAAACAAAATCATCTTCTTGTTTGCTTGTCTGTTGTTGAGCATTCAAATGTTAACTGAGATCACAAATCCTGGAATTGTAGAAGTGGGGGATCTTAGACATATGCAACAAGCATGCCAAACACTCCGACCCTACAAATTCAGGCACAAAATGCAGAAGTGAACTGAATCTTGGTGGAGAGAAGATAATATTAAGTTGAAATAGTTAATGAATAATTTGTTTCATCTTGAAAATACACAAAGCTGTCTTGGAGGAAGTACTTGGAGGAAGTCAGATACTCTTTAGAAATGAATATAGCAAGACCTCTTTTCATGGACTTTATCCATGTTATCAGGGGAGACTAATTTCTGAAAAGGTAAGTTATGGCATGCTTTTCTAAAGCAAAAGATCAGTGAAAAGGAGGAAGACTCTCAAGGAGATGCATTGACAGATGGCTGTAACAATGGACTAAAACATAACAACAATTATGAGGATGGTACTGGAACACTCTGTGTTTGGAAAGCAACTGTAATACACTGGTTTAGGTATTAACATTAGTTAGATAAATTAAATAGCATATCTTCCCACATAGTCAAATGATTCTTTTTTAGTTAAATCCTGATATCTTTCACATTTCATGCTTTGAAGCGTAGAGCCCCTATATTCAACTAGGCCATGTCTCATTCGGGAGTACTGGTGCTATTCAGACTGAGAGTTTACAGAACTCTGTTTTTTAAAAAATATATATTTGTATTATAGTTTGGGTGGAAATGGATAGGAAGAATTGGCTTTCCACTGAACAATTTATACAAATTTTGTTTTGTGATGCTGATTGTGATCCTCATCCTACTTCTTCCCTGTATTACTCATTCCTTTTTGTTTTCTGTACCACTCTCCTTTCTGAGCTGTTTTGGAAATGCTGCTCTTCTGTTCTCAATGCTGCTCTTCTGTTCTGATTAATTTTATTGAGAGACACATCCTTTCCTGGTGTTGTATCTGTGTGTCTATTGTTTGGCTAAAATTTGATGTCTGGGATGTGTTCTGTTCCGGTCTTAAAGGTTGAGTATGGCAACAATAGCAGGAGTTCTATGAGTCTTCTTTCATGAAGAAGAGTGTGATATCAGGATCGGAGGAAGGCTTATCAACAACCTGTGGTATTCAAATGATACAACCTTGCTTGCTGAAATGAGGATAACTTGAAGTATTTGCTGATAAAGATCAAGGATTGGAAACTTCTATAGGGATTACAATTTAATGTAAAGGAAATCCAAATTCCCACAATTGGAATAGTAGTAAAATCATGATAAAATGAAAAAACGTTGACGTTGTCAAGGATTTTGTTTTGCTAGTATCAACAATCAATAATCATGGAAGAAGTAGTCAACAGATCAAATGACAGCATTGCATTGGGTAGATCGGCTTCAAAAGACCTCTTTAAAATATTGAAAATCAGGGAGGCCATTTTCAGGCAAAGGTGTGCCTGACCCAAGTCAAGGTATTTTTCATTGTCTTATGCACGTGGAAGCTTCACATTGAATAAAGAAGACTGGAAAAGCATCAATGCATTTGAATTATGGTGCTGGTGAAGAATATTGAAAGTACCATGGATTGCCTGCCAAAAGAACAAATCTGTCGAAGAATTACAACCAGAATTTTCCTTAGAGACAAGGATGGTAAGACTTTGTCTCATGTACTTTGGACAAGTTATCGGGAGAGATCAGCCCCTGGAGAAGGATATTATTCTTGGTAAAGTAGTAGGGCAATGAAAAAAAGGAAAGGCCTTCGACAAGATGGCTTGCCACAGTGGCTGCTTTGATGGTCTCAACCACCGGTATAATTGTAAGGATTGCACCGGAGTGGACAAGGTATTGTTCTATTGTACAGAAAGTCATTATGAGTTGACACTCATAGTATAGTACTTAACACAACAACAACAACATGAGTCTCTATCAGAAAAGTAAGATTTTTTCATGATTGTGAATTCTTTATTGAGAATTGATACATCTGTTTTTCATGATGCTAATAACTGAGAGAATATGGCTTTAGAATTATTTTTTATGATTCAAATAAATAGTACCTAAAGTCTTTTCCTAACAAAATAACAAACCTTTGGGAAAGAGTTAGATATGTCAGTGTCTGTGTACATTACTATTACTGTTCATCACATTTATGAAGACATAATGAATAGTTGTTAATAGGAAATGCCACAGTTAGAATAAAATAAAGTGGCCCATCAAGTACTCATCTCAAGTTTATTACTGCAGTGGACCTGGGTTATAATTGTCAATGTGGGAGAGAGTAACTATAAGTTACTTTTATGTAAAAAGCATATTATACTAAGCCAACCTAATAACACAGTTTTTATGAACCACAATAATTACACTGAAGAATCACATAAGTGCATTTTCCTAAAAGAAGAAACTAGGTGTTGATAAGCTACTACAGAATTTTACAGTTGCAATGAACAAAAATAATTGTCAATGCAAAATAATAAAAGCACATTAACTTTTGTTACAATGCTTGAGAGAGATGAATAATAAAAGCATTTTAATACTTATTAAATAATAAAAAGTTTACTATCAGGTTTAGCGCTTTCATTTTGAAATGACTTTTTTGAATAAAATTCTATGTGTATTTAAATTGTTTATTATTTTTTATGAGTGGAATGTGGGAGGTTGTTTCACTTGCACAGAAAGCTTTTCTTTTGTTATACTTTAGTGAATCAATATAGGAGAAAATGACTTTTCGATAAATGTCTATTTAAATATCTACTTTATAAAACTCTAATTAAAATTTGATCTCAAGCCACTGTGATTTTATCACCATATTTGATTTTACATTTGGAAGCTTAGAGAAAAGCTAAGTGTTATCACCAGTCACTTAATATCTGTTAAGAAATTAAAGCACCGTAATTCCTATTTAAGACAAATGATAGGCGTTAAAAAGTTCACAAGGTCACAAAGCTATTTTAATAGACATGAATTACATTACAAGAGAAACTTGGAGAAATAAATGAGTGTGTTTAAAAGATACATTTACAAATTCCTAACTATACCTCAACTCAATGGAATGAACTCATTGGCAGTGGTGGGTAGTTGAAATGATTTGGTTGAATAATAAATAAGGACTTTTTAACAATGAATAATAAACTGAAAAAACACCATATTTAAAAGTAACTGGGCACACCACACTCTCCCACCAGAGTTTTCTTCTGCCTTAGCCTCGCCCACCATGACCCCCACCCAGCAGCTCCTAGAAAGCTGGTGCCTGACAGACAGCAAAGGTTTTGATGAACACATGAAGGAACTAGGAGTGGGAATGGCTTTGCAACCAATGAGTGCAATGGCCAAGCCTGACTGTGCCATCTCTACCGATGGCAAAACCTTCACCAGGAAACCTGAGAGCACTTTGAAACCAAAACGGTTTTCTTGCAACCTGGAGGAAAATTTTGAAGAGACAGATGGCAGAAAAACTCAGACTGTCTTCAGTCTTATGCACGGTGTTTGGGTGCAGCGCCAGGTCTGGGATATGAAGGAGAGCGCAATACAGAGAACACGGGATGTCGGAACACTAGTGACGTAATGTGCTGAGAACAATGTCATCTGTTCTCAGGCATAAAAAGTGGTGTGAAAATTCCACCCTCACTTGAGCAGGATGTAGCTGTGAGAATGAACAAGCTTTTCCCCCTATTATTATATTGATTACTTCCATTACGCAATTTTACCTACAACTATTTGAAAGTGCTAATTTGATTAGATCAGCCCCTTGATTAATAAGTGAATGTGTTTGTGCTAAAACTTAAAATTAAAAATTACATAAACTGTCAGTAAGACAACTTGATTTCATATAGAAATATATGATTTAGATACTTTTATGCAGTCACAAAATAAAAGAAAGTCCTGGGATGGGATTGAGAAAATTTTCGAAATGTCTAACAGTTCACATAAAGGGCTGATGGGATGTATTAGCACTCCAAATTCTGAGCATCTTGGATGAAGCACTTTCTCTTTGTATATCCTGTGCACTATCAAAGGTCATCATGGCACACAGGGCAGTGTGTACTCAAAGGTGAGGCATCCCCTCCCATTGGCTTTCTGCCACCTCCTTCTGTCACTTCTCTGTGTATACTAGTTAGCTAGTCTTGATAGAAACTGTCTTCACTGATTGTTCCTTAAGGTGCTTTCTTTTGCTGAAGAGGACTTATCCAGAAGGAAAAATGGGGAAGAGCAACAATAATAAGGAATTTCAGAATGATTAGAGCTGAAAAAATATTTTGAAAATATCAATTTCCTATTAAGAATGCCACTACTCACTGTCTCTATGATTTCTGACATCCTCCAGGGGGAAAAAAACGGGGTAACAGAGAGTTATTAAAATGAAAGCAATGAGGATGGTGCTGCAAATGACATTTGGACATGGTAGTAGGAGGGATGAGATCATGAAGAGCATTATATGATAAAATAGAGGGTCAGCCAAAAAGTGATGGCCCAGAAGATGCATCTATGGGCTCAAACATAGAAAAGAAGTGCAGATGGCACAGGGACAGGCAGTGTTTTACTTTGTTGCACGTAGGATCACTGTACACAGATCTGAGTCAGTGGCATCTAGCAACATACCGCACATAAAAAGTGAGGTAAATTTCTGAAATAAACCACTTAGGAAATACCTTGATTCTATGTATTATAGTAAAAAATATGTATTTGTTCATCTTGGATCTCTTCCATCTCCAAATGAGAAGTTCTTAAAAAGGAGAACAAAATAGGAGGCTTCTTACTTCCCAATCTCAAAGACAAAGTAGTTAAAAGAGCTTGGTACTGATAAAATGATAGATACTTAGATAAATAAAATGAAATAGAGAACCAAGAAATCAATCTATCCACCTACACAAAACTTATCCCTGACAAAGGCCAAAAAACATTAAATGGGACAGATATAGTCTCTTCAACAGATGGTAGTGGGAAAATGTGATCTTCACTTGCAGAAGAATAAAACAGGACTCCTACCTCATCCCATATACAAACTCAAGATTAATCAAAGACCTAAATGCAAATCCCAGTGCTATCAATGAGCTAGGCCATCAGTGAGAAAATAGGAATAACTTAAGGGCTTATTTCAGGGCATAGACACACTCTCAAATATAACCAAGGAAAGACACACAGTAGAAGACATGGGGAAATTAAAAAGAAATAAATTAACAAGGGTTCATGAGGGAGCGGTTTGGGCAGAGGGGGAAATGAGAAGCTGATATCAAGGGCTCAAGTAGAAAGAAAATGTTTGGAAAATGATGATAGCAACATATGTACAAATGTGCTTGACCCAATGGATGCATGTATGGATTGTGATAAGAGCTGTAAGAGCCCCAATAAAATGATTTCAAAAAACAAAAACAAGATATTTAATGTGAATCAAAAGAGTAAAATGAGAACCCACAAAGTGGAAAATTTTGGGGCCATGGCATAATGGATAAAGTACTAATTAATCTCTAAAATTTACAGAAAGCTCCAACATCTCAATAAAAAAAGACATGCAACATAATTAAAAATTGGTGAGGTAATGAACAGAGAGGTCATCAATCATGACATTCAAATGACTGACAAACGTATGAAGAAATTTTCATGGCTGCCAGCCATTTAGGAGATGCAGATCAAAGCAACCCTGAGACACACCTTACATCAACAATGAAAGCCAATTAAGGGCAAAAAATAACAAATACCAGAAAGTTTATGGAGAGATTGGAATCCTCATATATTGCTTAAAGAAGTATGAATACGTACAACCACTGTAGAAAGACATAGGGCACTAGTTCAATCAACTAAGAATAGAAATTCCATATGTTCCAGCAATCCCTTTGGTTGAGTATGAACCCTAAAGAAATAGAAATCATAGTATGAACAGACAAATGCATACTCATGCTCATCCCAGGACTGTTCCCAACAGCAAGAAGATGGAAACAACCTAAATTCCTCTCGGTAAAAGAATAGATAAAGAAATAATGGTGCAGATACACAATGGAATACCATGCATCACTTAAAAACAATGAGGACGTCATAAAACATTTTACAGATTAGATCAACCCGGAGAACATTATTTCTGAGTGAAATAAGTCAATCACAAAAGGATTAATATTGCATGAGACAACTCGTATAAAGAAAAAACAAAGACAAAGACTCTCATCGCAAAGGGAACTGACTTTGGTGGTGACCAAAAGAAAGAGGGCACTGGAGGGAAGGGAGGCAATAGGATAGAGGGGTGACCATACTAACTGTCGTGAAGGGCAAGACAGTAACCCACAAGTGAAAGAAGAGAAGTCAAATGAGTTAATGACAGATAGGGTAAGCGAGTGGGGTGTTGATAAGTAGTTGAAAGCATCGAATACAAAAAGAATGAACTGAAACGTATACTCCCACCTAATTAACAACAAAAATGTTTTGAAAATTACTCACTTTCCATATTTTAAAAATGACCTACTACCATAAAATCAATTCCAACTCAGGGTCACCATGTAGATTAAAGCTGATCAGTAGTATTCCTAAGGTTATATATTTTATAGGAGCAGAGAGTTTCGTCTTTGATCTGTGAAACATCAGGAGGGCTTGAGCCACCAACCTCCTGCTTACAAGCAAAAGGCTGAACCCACTGTACCCCAGGGATATTTGACTAAAAAATCCAAGTTAGTAAGTCTATGTACATTACACATCATTATTTCTTTTTGTTCTTGCTTTGTTAATATATTTCCCCCATTCTATTACTTCATTACATAGCTATCAAAGCTCTACGTACATAATCCAACATTATTTTTTTCATCCTTTTCACAATTAGGAATTCTTTGGAAGCACATCTTCTTACTTTACCAGTAATGGTTTTGCTGTCTACACTAAGAAGAACACATATTCTCATCACGATGAAAGTATATCCATTGTTCTTCATGTAAATCCAAACAACACAACTACTATTCAAATTTATGGACCGAACACAAAAGCGAGTGATGAAAAAATTGAAGCATTCTACCAGTTTCTTCAGTCAGAAATTAAGCAAACATGCAATCAAGATGCATTGATAATTATTGGTGATTGGAATGCAAAAGTAGGAAGAACGGTAGTTGGAAAATATGAGCTTGGTGGTAGAAAAGAAGCTGGAGCTCACATCGCAGACTTTGGAAAGACCAATTGGCATGTTTCAGCAAGCCGAGGGTGCACTGGAACGACTTTCTCATCCGTGTCAGGAAATCTGGAAGACTGAAAGAAATCCATATTTGTCCTCATTCCAAATAAAGGTGAGCCAACAGGGTGCTCAAATTATATAACAATATCACTGATATCACATGTAAGTAAAATGCTGCTGAAGATCATCCAACAATGGTTGCAATAATCCATTGACAGGGAGCTGCCAGAAGTTGAAGCCTCATTCAGAAGAGAAAGGGAAACAAGGCCTATTATCGCTGATGTCAGAATGATCTTGGCTTAAAGGAGAGAATACTAGAAAGATGTTTACCTGTGTTTTATTGACTATGCCAAGGCATAGACTGTGTCAATCATAACAAACTACAGCTGGCCCTAAGAAGGGGAATTCTGCTGTTGTTGTTAGGCACAGATCACTATGTAGGTTCAAGTTGAGAGCAAACCTTTGTACAATTGTGCCTAGGCCTACACTATCCTCATAATTTTGTTTGAGCCGTTGTATCAGCAAATGTGCCAATCCAGCCCAATATATCCTTTCCAGGATTTTCCCTTTCTTGCTGTTCCTCTTACACGCCAAGCATGATGTCTTTTTCCAGGGAACCGTTTCTTCTGATAACGTGCTCAAGCTAAGTGAGACAAAGTTTCCTCAATCTCCCTTCTAAGGCGAATTCTGCTTGTCCCTCTTTAATAAAGAAATGTTGTTTCCTTCTAGCACACTTTGGTATATTCAATACTCTTTCCTAATACCACAATTTGAATGCATCAGTCTACTTTAGTCGTCCTTATTCATTGTCTTGTTTTCACATAACAGTAAGAAGAATGAAAATATCATGTGCTGGGTCAGGCACAACTTTGTCCTCAAAGTAATGTTTTTGCTCTTTAATACTTTAAAAAGTTCTTTTGCAGCACATTTTTCCAAAGCTATGAGTTATCTGATCGTTTGACTTCCATGAACATTCATTGTGGATCCAGGCAAAATCAAATTATTGCTAGCATCAATTTTTCCCTCGGTTTATCATAATGTTGTCTATTGGTTCTGTTGTGAAAATTTTGGTTTCCACAATTATTTTAATAAGTGGGAAAGTTTTCCTGCTAAGGTTATATCTCATTTTTAAGGAAACACTGAACAAGTCCTGTTAAAGATTATTGAATGTATTAGTAAATAAATTTAAAAGATTGGATTTAATGAAAGAAGTATGCATGTTTTAAATATATATACATTTATATAAAGGGGAAAATCATGTCAAAGCATATAAGAAAACACAAAACAAGATAACAATATATAGTAGTAGAATATATATAACAAAATATGATTATTTCAATGAACTTTCCTGTACAATTCATTGATGTTCTTATATTTACTCTTTTGTGCAACCATTATCACTATCCATTTCCAATTTTTTC